ATCAGACGTCTCCGTCTTTAGCCTACATTTTCGTTGTCAATAAACACTGTTGGGCTTCATCGAAAGGGATATCGCCTTACAGTCGCCTTTCCTCTGAATCCTTTTATTACCCACAACATCAACTATTTTCATGGTAGGGTTCAAAAGGTGAAGTCTGAGTGTTATCTTCTAAAAGAGGACACCTGAAAATCAACAAAGGCATCACCTGCAAATCGGGAATGGCAGAAGCACAATGTGACAGAATCTCAATCCTGTGTGTATCCATTAGGAGGCAATGGTCCAAAAGAAAAATTTCCGCGGAATCAATAGGATCTCATGTATAAGTAAATATGCCACATGGAGTTGGAAATCTAGTCAAGGCCTTTCATAAGGACCTACGAAATCAGGAAACCAATATCGACGGGAACTCCGGTGCGGTCTCGATCGAATCCTCGAACAGATGAAGAAATCATATTCTTGGGGATGGAAAAATGGCGACCGGAAGAACGAAAACTTATCGTTAACAATCTATTCGTCTGAAGTAGATGACCTGCGATGGGTGCAATGAGTAGTTAGGGGTTAGGAAGCCAATTGCTGTGGTGGTTAGGAAAGTTTCTTTTTCGTCCGGCACGATCTTGAACAATTTGTTGTGAAGGGAGTTCGAGTGTATCAGCTGGTTCCTTGGCAATGCTATAGTAGCCTAGACCGTGCAAAGCCCATCAGATCTGTTGGCGGCATTTCACCCGAAGGCTTCCACGGATGGCGCCAGAGTGACGTGACGGTGCGGTCTTCCTTTGCGATCTCTTATCTGCGTAAGCTAGCCCCAGTTCAATGTTACATAATTGGGATAGGCTGACAGGCGGATGTCATGGCTGGGGCCGCAGGTACAATACCTACGGTCAGATGATATAGGCAAAGCCCATCAGATCTGTTGGCGGCATTTCACCCGAAGGCTTCCACGGATGAGATGATATAGGCAAAGCCCATCAGATCTGTTGGCGGCATTTCACCCGAAGGCTTCCACGGATGGCGCCAGAGTGACGTGACGGTGCGGTCTTCCTTTGCGATCTCTTATCTGCGTAAGCTAGCCCCAGTTCAATGTTACATAATTGGGATAGGCTGACAGGCGGATGTCATGGCTGGGGCCGCAGGTACAATACCTACGGTCCCGTCTAGGTCAACTCCGCCTACTTATTACTATTCATATAGATGACAGTGCATTTGCTACACTTATATTTGCATAGCCTTTATTATTCGCTTCAGTACTGTTGTATTCTTACGCACTTTACCGGAGAGCTAGTCACTCTGTCGATTACTCTTCTCACTGATTGCTATTAGTTGCAAGTGCTTTCAACCAGCGTTGAAAGCGCTATGCCTCGGTGGACTAGTAGTTATGAACTTCACCTTTTGCAAATAATACAATGCCTTCGAGTCCAGATGCTAGGTGAGAGTTCATCTGAAAGATCAGTTAGTGGTCAATTTTTAGTGGTAGCGCTGATGTAACGCACCTGCCTGGACCCAAGGCTACTCTTCGAAAGTGATGCTGTGAATCTTGCCAGAGTAACGAGTTTTCGTCCTGTAGAGCAGTAGCCTGCTAAGGTTTGAAACCCTCCATCTGTGCTCACTGTGGTATTTGCCCTTGTAATGATAGATTTGCTAAAGGGGCTAACAGTTATCATAGCTGGCAACTTTGCATTGGACCGTTTTGGAATTTTACGACAAGTATATGATAACCAAGAGTGCTAGCCTATAAAAGACTTAGCCCTTTCTGTAGCTCTAGGATATACCCCATAAGAACAGAAAGCGATTTTTCCCAACCATCTTTCATCGTTTTCAAGAAGGAACTAATGAATATAAAGAATTCGCCCGAATAGGAATGCAATGTTCGGTAAATATTACGAAGGAATCCTCCGAGTTCCCGAGTTGCCATTTGGAGTAATGTAGCTCACCTTCTTTTCTACATACACATCTCTAATTCCTTGAGCCTCCAACAGCGGTTAAAGAGAGTAGGATGAAGCTCTCAGTTAGTTATAAGCGTTGGGGTGTCCTAAACTCCTGCCATCTGTTTCCTCGCAGTAGTTTTTTTTTTCAGTTTTTTGTGCTTTCCCTTTTTATCGCAAAGCTCAGCAATGTGAAGGGATTAGGGATCAAGGATCTATCTGTAAAAAAGTTGAAGTGAAAGTAGCTTCGCGCCAAATCATCCTTGCTCCTAACCTCGATTGGGGGCTGCTAAGTGTCCCTGAAGGTGCCACCCGACTCGAGAATTCCTCTGATTTATCAAAAATAATCTACACCGTGCTTCATTCTGTCCTGAAATGTAGGATTTCGTTGGTTACTTCATGATCATGTTGTTCGCTCCCACTCTTATTGCAAGGATGTACCATCGAGAGATTCAATGCTTTGCGTTCCGTGGTACTGTACAATACCGTCTACCCTTTGCTTCGTTTATCGTCTCACCTCGAACTGTCGATCTTTCCGAAACAACTGGCCAATCTCTTCACCTTTAGCTGCAATGATAACTTACCTATTCGACTGTGAAATGGAGCCCGAATCAACCTGTAAATCAAGTATTCACTGGCAGGAATCCGAACAACCAGCCGACAGTTTACTGCAAGGTCTTCAATCAGTATTGAGAAAGGTGGGTCCTGTCAAACCGATAAACCTCCGTTCAAAGCCCTTTCAATGTTTTTGTTTAGGTGTATATAGCCGAAGCAATTCTGTTCAAACGACTAGAGTGCACTTCAACAGCAAAAGAAGCCGAACACCTGCAGTCAGGATTGATGAGATTGAATGAAGTTGAGAAGAGCATACAACTGAGAATTTTACACCATGTGGGTGAATTTTACGATTTTTTTCCTGCCAGAAAGAAATGTTCCAATAAAGTAAAACGGAACAGCACAAGCAGAGGGCATGGCGGTGAGGAGGGGTTTGGTGGAGGTCCAGTTTTATCACCCCCTAATTACATCAAACTTGGATCGGGGATGGTTGAGTGTGCGGTCAAAGCGGTATGCCCACGGTCTCAAATAGGATGGATGTCATGCTACCCAACCCTAAACTTGGGCTAAGTCTCCGATAGTGTTTCATGACCCATTGATTCCAATCTGAGAGGCCTTTACAAGGGGGGGGGGGGGGGGGGGNGGGCTGTTGGAAAGAGCGCATATGCAATAATAAAGTTGATCCTCCTTCCCATAATGTTAGTAGGGCATATTACGGATGTGGAAGTGAGAAGAACTTCGCATAGTAAAGCGAACTCGAGTCGTAGGGTTCCATAGGGGGTCGAATTCCAATTGAAACTTTGTGATCTAGAAAGTTTTTGGTTCGAGTGGTTCTTCATTCTCATCAAAGCAGCTGGCCGGAACTTTGAGTAGCTGAAAGTGAAGAGGCTGTCGTGGGCAACAGCTGCTAAGTCTTTTAATTACCGGCACATAAAACATAACGTTTAGCGCGTCTTAAAATGAGGTATTCAAAGTACATAGGAGAAAGGGAGATTTATTGCCTGCCTTGAGCCTAATCGAAAGGATGGAAACTCAGCATTCCTGACTTCATCCAATTTAGAGGGGTCCCGCAGAAAGTTCAGTTCGTAGAGACAAACGATTGCATTTTCTGAGTGAGAGGGTAGGAATAGGTGGAGAGAGAACTTCTAATCTCAACATGAAGTCTGGACTTGAGAACGTTTTGGTATTCAGAAAGGAAAAATAGCTACAGTTTTGAGTACCGTTTCCACTGATTACTGTCGTTTCAGATCCGCCCGATATCGCCATGCAACTCCGAGCAAGAATAATTCGTCTAAATCGATCAATATTTAAATAATATATTGTTTATTTACTATTGGCTATTAATTGTAATACACACTGTACATTGTTCTAGCACTAATAAATATTATATAATAATTCCCGTGGATTGACAAACATGCAGCCTAAAGTACTGCAGCCGTAATCGGTCAGGCAAGATTGAAAAAAATTCAGAGGTACGATCATAAGTTCTAGTAGAGTAGCTTTTGCTTCAGAGATTGGTAGTGTACTTCATCAATAGGAATGCATCACTTCCAGCATGATCTAAATTCTTGGACGGGTTAGGCACTGCTTCCCATCTCCTAGACAGACGGTTTCCCTGGTGGGAGAAGTTTCGATTTCCAGAGGTGATCCACGCCCTTGACATTGGTCATCAAGTCAACCACTTCGTCGCAAGTTCTGTTGACTAGCCAGTTTTTCAACGAACGATTGACATGATAAACCTAACGAGATAAATCGGTGAGTCCGACTAATTTAGGAGCAGATCCCATTCCTTACTTAGTTTCGCCTGGTTGCTCCATTACGGAAAAGATGTTGAGATCGCGAAATGACTCTGCCACCTTCCGAGCTTTCTCCAAGTGGTAGAGCATAATGTGGCGAGTGTGGAGATGACTTTTGGATGCATTTCCGTTAAGGAAAAGGGGAAGATCTTTTCAATGAAAATCCTGAATGAATGAAAACTCAGTGCTCGAATTGTATCGAGAAACAAATCCGCGAAAAAATCCGCAATAATTATGCATCAATCTAATAGTATCAGGACAACAACCAGGCAATTTTTTAGAGACCTTCTGCTCTCATTCCGGCTGCGTGCAGACGATATAGTAGAAACAGGAGTTGCAGAGTGTGCTGGTGACGAAGTTTCCTTCAAAAAGCCCATGGATCCGAGGGTGGATCTCAACGCGCAGACGGAACGTAGTCCTGTCGATGTCTGAATTTTTACAACCCTCTTTCCCCTTTTTGTTCCTTTCGAAACAGTGTTTTTCTAATTTCAGCTCATTTTCATTTTCATTTTCATTTTTGTAGCTCAAATTTTTTAAGTTCGTTGAATGGTGTCGAGACTGTGCAGGGGAACTAGAACATTAGCCACACCTTTGCGGCGTAATCTTTCTAAAAAGAAACGCAAGACCAATTGCTAGCCCTCATCACGGAGACAGTGTTGAGAGCTTCTCGACGACGGGCGCTTTTACAGCCGTTGGAGTAAAGATGATTTCGCACGATCTGTCGTCGGTGAATGTCGGGTCTCCCATGTTCCGCCGCTTTCACACGCCATTGGCATGCGGCGCGTGAACCACCCTCAAACGCTTGGTGGGCAAGTATCAATCAACGGTACCGACAATCCTCTCTCCGCCAATACATCAAAAACCATTGAGAGCAATTACGGTGTCGACGAGAATTCCCTGGGAGCCGAATTATATTGACTCTCAAGTAGTGATTCATGTAGAACCTGATTGTAGGCCGGTCTTGTTTACCACGAGAGACTGTTTGATCTTAAGAAACTTTGTTTTGAATGAAAGTAGAGGGCTCTCTCCTGCTCATGGCGCCATCGACAAGATTTGGAGCGTAACTCTTTGGTCAGATTAGTTGAACACGATACGCACCAGACCAAGTTTGTGTTATCATACAACAGTAATATTAACAACAGTTCTGCCGACGTTACTTCGTATTCAACTCCAAAGCTTCTTCTGAGCCCCTCATTTACGTCCCATAGTTTCATATTAATAGATAAAGGATAAAGGATAAAGTTTTTGGCGTTAATCAATCCCGTCTGAGGGATGCGCCCCGCACTCGACTTCCATTCAGAATCGTAGTGGCGTAATGAGTGCGTATGTGGCCTATACAATGACTTGCGGTGGCCAGCCGATGTA